TGATCATCACGTAGGAAATCTTCCTGCATCACATCTTCCATGTTCATACTGCTAATCTCTTTAAGATAAGCACTGAGACCTTCTGATGTACAAACTGTTTTTTACTTTTCTTTTCTTTTTTTTTTTGAGAAAAAACAGTCAAAAGTTATTTTTCTCCACCGATCAAGATCACAAAGGGGAACCGCACAAACCAAATTAATCTCACACCAATATCATGAATGTGGTTAATTTATAATCACATATATACGCGCGCGCACACGCACACACGCGCACACACACACACACACACACAAACACACACAAACCCCCACACAAGCACATGAGAGGCGCCAAGCCCTCTTTTTTAAAGAGACACAAATTCCCTCATTTTCCCAAGAGACAAATCTATTCATGCGATTGTCTTGAATAGTGTTGGTTGGCAAAACTTCTATGATTTATTATTTGATGTCTTATTTGTGTTTTCTCGAAGGTTTTTAGTTTTTAAAGGGAACCTTACATACATATACACCACACAAGTCTAATTCCTTTACATATTACTCTACCATATAAATTTTGATATTTATATTTATAATATTTTGGTGTTATAAAAAGATGTCTGCCCTTTTTAATAAGTTAAAAAATTGCTGTATTTTTTTATGTGATGTTAAGAAAGTGAGCAGTATGCATGCAGTATAAAAGTTTAGTGTTATGTAAATATATGTGGTATATCAAGGTATTAAATTTCGTTTCTAGAAATAATCATTTTAACTATGTTTGTTGAAATTAATTTTCAGATGATACCAAGTTTAATTTCAAAAAAAATTAATTCACTTAGGAGAAAAAGACTATACCTCATCAAAAATGAGGTCAACGATGTAATCATCGAGACTTTCTGGTGGGGTGATTTTCGTCGTAGCCTTTGCAGAGCTTGTCGTTACGGGGCCGGGAATCAACTCCAGAGCTTTATATGTTTCAAGCTTAGAGACCAAGAGATACGATGCTGGAGTGTTGTAAGTAATTCTATAGACCTGACGTTGTTGAGGTCGTTGTCGGCGCTGCTTCATGGGTTCAAGCTCCCCAAGTGCCAATTAGACATGAGAAAACATTGAAGAATTTTGTATTATAATACAAGATAAGTCTTAAAGTAATACTCTTTTTATTTTATAGGTAAGGTGTCAGCCGTCTGGAATCGCCCGAGAGGTACATATGTACGGTCGGTCGGTTGTTTCAACCATTGGGAGTTTACCATCAATTTTGTGGTACACCTCATAACTAAAGCCTCTAGGAAGACGACATAAACAACATTTTCTGCTGTGGATCTTTAGTTGCATGAACTTCTTACGGCGATCGCTGTTAGGAAGTTCTCAGAAGCGCATTTCTCATCATTAGTGTTACTTCCTTTTTTATTGGCAGCATACTTCACACTCACCGCAATTTTCAAATATTCAATCCAAATTTATTCTGTGAGACATGCCTAAACATCGGAGCAGTAGGAACTTTGAGGGAAAAGTAGAGAGAATGAGAAATAAATAAAATATAACACATAAACTTGTCTCGTTAAGTCGAATCAGGGTATTCGTGGGCTCTATGACTCATTTTATAACTGTTACAAGAGAAAAGGGAAGAGAAATATCTTTATAGTGTATAGGTCAAGAGAGAAAAGTCAAAAGTCCCATAACACATGCTATAAGTCCCTTATTTATAAAGATAGATGACAAAATTGAAAAATTATTTCTGTCGGTGCTTTAATAGGGGGCTAGAGGACATTAATGTCTTTATCATTGTTGTTTTTATTTGTATTTGTTTTAGCATCTTTTTGTCTAGCTAGACCTTTTGGGCGGCAGATCCTCGAGTCGGTTGATCATCTTGTCTGGGTACTGGTTGACCTTCGCTCTAGGAAGACGGTCACCTTTGAGAGCAGCAATTGGTCCGCCTTTTGGCTGCCAATAAGTTTGCTTGTTTCTTGGTGATTTATGAGGATTTTTAGGGAAGCTGTTGAGAGAGTCTCACATTGATACTTGTGGGATTGTTGGGGATACTAGACCTTTGTCCAATCTTTGGCACGAATGATCCTTTCTTGTCGGCCTAAATGGTCTTTTGGTCGTCTAGCGGACCTTCTGTGCCATTAGATCTCTTTTGGATCAACAGGAGCACATTTTTTGTGTACAAATTTTAATTTTTTATTTAACTATATAAAATAGGGACATTTACAGACATTACACCCGATTCTTATATATTTATATATCGAATGCCCAAATGTTACTTCTTACATTTATAAAATTAAAATATATCATATCAAATCAAAAATAACATTATTTTAACTATTAAAATTTTAAACTTTTAATAATTGAAACAAATCATTTCAAACATAAATAAAGTGGCATATAACTGTAAAAAATTAAATTTTAAATATTAAATATATAAATACATATAAATTAGATGATGCATATGTAAAGCTTCCATTTTCAAATAAACATAAATAATAAAATTTAAATTTTGATTTATTCAATAATTTTGTATGTAATTGTTATGAATTTGAAAATCGGAGTTGTGATGTCAAATATGTAAATATATAAGAAAGTGTGGAGTGTATGTAAATGCCCCTATCATATTTTACTAAAAGAATCATTACCTTAAAAAAAACATGTGTTTTTGTATGAAAAATTATTGTGTACCGAGAGCGTTACGCAGAGCGACGTGCGCTCCCCGATCACAATCGCACATCAACTATCCCTTTAATTTTTTTTTTTTTTAAAGTGAGACCCACTAACATACAAAGATGGTTGATGTGTAGCTGTGACGGGAGAGCGCACACAGCTTACATATGCTCTCCGTACGCAATAATTTCTAGTTTTCGTATAGAGCTTATTTACAAAAATGGCAAGGCAAAATTGTCATTTTCATCAAATTTAGTAAACAATTTCTTCCAAATCCTCCCGGGATCAGCACTAACAATTTATTATTTATTTACTATTATTAATTTAAACTTTATGGAATCTTCCTAATCCGACATTATATTGTGGAATAAACGCAATATAAATAATTACAAATTGGCCCACGAATAAAACTTGAATAATACAAACTGCATTAATAAATACTATTTTTGGCAAATTCCACGACAATCAATTAAGTGAGATATTTCTTGTTTTGGAGCCATCCTTTAATATTAAAAAATTATGTGTCCGCATTACTTTTAGCAATAATAATAAAATATTACTTTATTAATGAAAATTAAAATTAACATAAATTAAAGGAAGAAGGCATCAAATACTTTCATGTTGTATTTGGTAATTTGAAAAAAATATTCCATAATTGAAATATATCATGAGATTCGAAGGAAGGGATCAAATTTAGCATGAAATTCAATTTTGTTATTTTCTTAAATTTTGGATTAAAAATTATTTATAAAATAGGAAATAAAATTGTATATAATGAGTCACTCGCTAATTTTGAGCTAGAATAGATCCAAATAATTGAATTTGAGCCCGCTCATTTCAATTTTGAGCCAGTTCAAGCCAATCTATAGCTGGAGCGGTTCCCAGATAACTCAATTTGAGCCAACTCGTTTTGATTTCGAGCTGGATCGAGCTCGTTGCAATTTTGAGTTGAGCTAGCTAGATATCGAATATAACTAGTGAAGAGCGACACTCAATCCATTGACGTCGATTTCAAGCTGACCCCAACTCAACTCAAAATCGAATCCATAATATCTTTAAAAGTAGACAATTTAGGAAGGGGTGGGATGTTAAATATATTATTGTCATAGATCTTTATAGGAGATGTTCCATAAACCAAAGTGTCTCAAATGAGAAGAAAAGTGAATACATTTGAAAAAAAGCAATACTCTGGCTTCATAAAGGATTGTGAAATTAGCTCAAAAAGTATTAATCACTCTAAAATCGATTTAAAGTTTAGCTCGGATCGAAATAAATAAGCCGAGCTATGAGCCAAAACTTGGTTGGTATATATGTAAATGTTTTTAAAATAAAGCAAACTCCATTTTGTTCTCTCTAATTTCTTCGATTTTGGATTTATATATGTAAATGCATAAGAGTTGGCTGGTATGCATGTAAATGCCCCCACAATTCTCCCATTTCCACCCCATCTTTTTTATTTAGTACCACATCGCCTACATCGAAAGTGTTTCCTATTAGAAATCCTATATAAATGTAAGAACAAAACATAAATTTTAGCTTTCTCGGGGCCAGCAATTAAGAACCTTGAAGAATGTCCACCTTTATGTAGCTCAAATTGAACGACGAACAATTTTTGGGATTGCTCATAGTTGACTTCTTGACTCAAGCTAACTCAAACTCAAATCACTAGCTGAGTTCCTCAAATCTTAAGTTGATGTTAGAGCCTACATTATAGCTTATATATTCTTTGAGCTTGAACTCGAGCCTCTGCTAGCCTAATGCCAATCAATACTTTTCGACAACAATAACCTTCACAAACTCCTTTTATTCAATGAAACTTTTCCTCTTAATAACCTAACAAGTAAGCTCTTGTCATAATTTCTTCCCCTTCCTTCTTAATGTGTCGGTCTAGTCAATCATTCTCCAACAAACTCCTGTCATACGATCTCTTATTTTTCAATTCAAACTATATATGAAAAAAAATGCATCGAATACGCTTGACTCGGACTCAACTCTACTCACTTATATTCCTATTCATAGGAGCAACTTCTGGAGCCGAAGGTCTCTAATAAAAAAATAACTAAAAATATAAATTGAAAATTCAAAACATATTAATTTAAGATGTAAAATATTATTTTTTACATCTTTTTGTTCAAAAAAAAGAAGATGAGACTAAAAGGTATTATTTTTTATTCAAATCTATAATTGTATGATAAAATACTATATCCTCAATAAAAAATTTAATCCCACATAACAAAGAAACTGTGTGGGACCCATCAATGGGGCCCTTCACATCAACAAATAACTGACGTGGCAAATAATAATAATTAAAAAAAAAAAAAAACCGGTTGAGTCCCTCGACCACTTGCCCTTCATTCCGCTTTTGTCCGAGTGATACACAGAGAAATATCGCCTTCTTTGTTTTCTTGCCCCAACAGCGAAGGAGCAGCTCCACTGCCATTTTCGCCGCAGTGATGTCGTCCTCTCCATCACCTAACTCGGCCCCTTCACCGACCTCCCCTACTCCTCCGTCGCCTCCCACCTCTCCTCCGTCGCCCTCCGCTTCCCCTCCCACCTCTCCTCCTCCTCAATCGCCCCCATCCCCTCCACCTCCGGCGGCCGCGGCACCTCCAAACTCCTCATCTACGCCTCCTCCGTCATCCACTCCGCCTTCTCCGGCGCCGCCTGCGATACCCTCATCCTCGATCCCACCCCCACCGGGCGGATCATCTGGGTCGGGGGGAAAAAAACCGCCGTCCCATGTTTCGCCCCCCTCTCCACCGTCATCTTCGGATTCGGTATCTACGGATCTTTTGGTAGGGTTGATTGTGGGTGGAGTGGTGATTCTATTGCTGTTGGGTACTGTCTGCTTTTGCTGCTTTAGAAAGAAGCGACGCCGTCGGCCGCCGACGGCCGCACCCCCCCCCTTCTTATCTGTCGCCGCCGGCCGCCGCCGGCGGCATCGCCGCCGTTGTATCAGTTTCATGGTGCTTCGCCGCCACCCCCTGCAAAAGGTGCTGTGTTTTTTTCTTTTTTCCTTCTTTTTTTTTGGTTCTGTATTTGATCAACTGTAGATTTTATAGATCTAGCAGATTTGGTTCTAATTTTCGTGTATTTAGGCCTGTTTTCTATTCTTGAAGCCTGGTTGTCAAGATTAGATCTTGCTTGCTATTTGGTGTTCTTTCAGGTGTTCCTATTTTGTTTTTTATTATTGTTTTTTAAAATAAACTTTGGTCAAAGTGGCTGAGAAGATCCAAGGGATTTGAGATTAGGGTCCTTCTAGAACAGCTCTTCCTAACTATAATACTTTCTTCAAACAGTAACATACGAACTTTTTTATTGTTTAGATTATTCATCCAATTAAACACAAATGTTAACACAATTTTCTATTCATAAAGCATGCATGGGATTAAAAACCTTTCAATTGATTCTAGGACAATATGAACTTTGGTTTTAGAAAATTTATGGATAAAGTGTGTATCTTAACTAGAAGAATGTTAACATATTTAAGATTGTTCAATTCTGATATAACTGAGGCAATTGAATCCTCAAGAAAAATCAAATGATCTAGAGGTAGTTCTACGCCTTTAATGTTTGGGATTTTGCAAAATATGCCATTATTTTACGCATTGAGGGTTTGTTGAGTGAGGAGAGTTATTGGATTTCAAGAATTTTGAAGCTCTGCTCATTGGTCAATATTGACAATCATTGTAAGTGGCTTGCAGTCAACCCACACCAACGATTATGAACATCCATTGACACTCAATCGTCAGTGTCTATTCCTCACCCCCTTTTGACTATCATTAATTGATACTAATGACCATCATCGCTTAATAGTCTTTATCAGCAATCGATTGAGATTAGCGCCCCTTACCCATAATTTTTTTTTCAATATTTTCTACTGTGCTCACAAGAGACCAAGCTAACAATTTGAACATAATCTCACATTCTTCAATTAGGGGAGAGGGCACAATATTGTAATCTTCACCAATATAGTGGATTAATATTAGTAGAATGAGCCATCGGTTTATATTCAACTTTATCACTATATTTGTTATAATCATCTACTTCTTTCTTTTCCAAGAAAGAAGATTATCATCCGCAAAAAGAGTGTCCTAAAATAGACTTTTGACGATCAATGTTCAACATAATCAACATTGGAAAAAGGTTCAATTCTTAAATGATTATATCTATAATAGACTAAACATTTTCTTCCATATATTAAAGCAACAAAGGATATACTTATTAAAGTGATAGCCTTATTAATAAACTTGCCAACTAGACAACAATAGGGAGAAGCGTTTTTTCAAGTTTTCATTGCATAGTATCTAAAATGGTTAGCTTTTCGATAAATTTAATTGACGTTTTCTGAGAGACAGATAAATGCCATCTTTACTACATTCAAACTCATTGTTAAAAAAGGTATTTTTAACACCCCAAATACTTGGTATCAAATATAATTTTAAAATGTTATTTTATTTCACTGTTTGAAACATCATTCCTAGTTTGTATAATGTCAAATAAAGAAGGTGTTACAAGCCTTTTCATACAACAACTACAATGTTTTTTTCATAAATATGATTTTGCGTCTGTAAGCATTTCATTTATTGATGAATTGTTATAGAAGTACTAAAACATTGAAAGAATTATTTGACAACTATGTTCACATATTGATATACTTATTAACATATATATTTTAGTGTGCTTGTTCTTGCACTTATATGTTAGATTGTAGCATTATGATGCTAGTTAGTACTGTAATTCTCTTAGATCCATTATATTATACAACATTTACTTTTAATTTCTGTTTTCTTCATTGTCTTTATCTTTTGATTGATCATGAATTTATCTTCTCTATTTATTATCAGATCATCCTTATGAACAACAACACCAAAATTGGCACAATGCTCCTCCACCAGATCATATTGTCAAAGTAGCCCCAACTCCACCTTTCCCACCCTTTGCTCCTCCCGCTCCCTTTTCTCCCATGCATTTTCATCCACCCCCTCCGCCACCACCGCCGCTTCCCACCAACAGCGGAGGTTCTGGGTCAACTTATTCCGGATCTGAAAATCCGCTGCCTCCACCATCACCAGGCTTTGCTCTTGGCTTCTCGAGGAGCACATTTACATATGAAGAGTTGGTAATGGCAACAGATGGGTTCTCGGATGCTAATCTTCTCGGGCAAGGTGGGTTTGGATATGTTCATCGAGGAATGCTGCCGAGTGGTAAAGAAGTTGCCATTAAGCAGTTGAAGTCCGGTAGCGGGCAAGGCGAGCGTGAGTTCCAGGCTGAAGTCGAAATCATCAGTCGAGTGCATCACAAGCATTTGGTTTCGTTAGTTGGATACTGCATTGCTGATGGGAAGAGATTACTGGTTTATGAGTTCATACCAAATAATACATTGGAGTTCCATCTTCATGGTGAGATTTTTGCAACTTAATTTGTTATTTTGTTTTTTGGAATCTAATTCAATGTTTAGTTATGATATGTGGCTAAATGATGTGTCTTTTACTTTGAAAATGGATTAGAGGTTTATTGTTTTTGTATTTAAATTAGGAATGGCTTAAGCTGTCGTTTTCTACAATTATTCCAATGGGATTTTATAGGAGTTAAAGAAGGGGCATTTACATACCACACAATTCTTATGTATTTATATATGTAACAGCAAAACTTTCATATTTACATGCATCCCACTCAAATCCTTAACATCACCTCAAAAATACCATCATTGCTATTTTTTTAAACATGAAATACATTAAAATTACTAAATTACCTGAAGTATATAAGAAAAGAATATTAATTTTTACTATTTATATAGAGAAATTACAAATTACAGAGGGTAATTGCCCATCCCGGACGAAAGTTGGTTCCGCCCCTGATACCACACAATCTTATGTATTTACATTACTGAACACCCATTCTTTAATGTCACTTCTAAAATATCACTATCACCAACTTTTAAAAAGTTAAATACACATTTTCATTCATAGGCTTATCACACCAAAGCATTATAAATGTAAAAATGAAAGCTTAGGCTTTAAATATGTAACTATAAAAAAATTTTGTGATGAATATATATGTAAATTTCCCTTTTTTATTTGCTGGTAATTCTAGATTGAATTGTTAACAGTAAAGGATCGACTAATTTTACTTTTTCAGTGCAATAAATGTTCTATTTTCATTTTACAGAAAAAGGCAGGCCTACTTTAGATTGGCCAACCAGACTGAAAATCGCCCTCGGCTCTGCGAAAGGACTCGCATATTTACATGAAGACTGTATGTTTCATGTTTTGGCTATTACATTTGTTTTTATTAGCTCTAATATCTAGTTTTATACTAATTCAGGCTACCAGTCAGTAGAACACCATCTCATTTAATTATTAAATTTGCAGGCCATCCTAAGATTATTCATCGCGACATTAAAGCATCCAACATTCTTCTTGACTTCAACTTTGAGGCGAAGGTACAATTTTCGATCATCATCATGTCCTTTTTTTGACGCATACCACGAAGTTCTTATGAATTTACCTGTTTGACGCCTAAAGTTTGTCATATTAAAGTTTCGGGTTAAAATGTTATATTTAATATTTTGGGTGGTTGGTATGTAAAAAGCATGATTTGGGCTTGCGAAAGTTTCATCCCTCACATCCTTTGTATTTCACATGTACTCCGGAACTAACTTTTAATAATTTGCAGGTTTCAGATTTTGGGCTTGCAAAAATCGCGTCGGAGACCAACACTCATGTGTCCACCAGAGTCATGGGAACTTTTGGGTATAACATATTCTTTAAAGCGAGGCTTTTGTGTTTGGCTCATCAAATAAGCAAATTTATAAAAATTAGTCAAACTCGAGCAAATTCTGAAGCCAAACACGAGCAAACATGAACTACAATCTTTTTTAAGCTTTCCTACTACTGATTCGTTTTTGGTTTCCAGTTACCTCGCCCCAGAGTATGCATCTACAGGCAAACTTACTGATAAATCTGATGTATTTTCATTCGGTGTCATGCTCCTCGAGCTAATAACCGGTCGCCAGCCTTTCGATTCAAATCAATCTTTCCTCGACGATAGTTTGGTCGATTGGGTATGTTTATCATGCAAAAACCGCTAAAATTGTTTGATCCTTTGAGGCGAAAGAGGTTAACCAAGTTATGTTTTTTTTGCCGTAGGCAAGGCCCTTGCTTGCGCGTGCTATAGACGACTGGAACTTTGACGTCCTTGTAGATCCACGCCTTGGCCGTGGATACAATACAACGCAGATGAGAAGCATGATTGCTTGCGCTGCCGTCGCTGTCCGCCATTCGGCTAAGCGAAGGCCGCTGATGAGTCAGGTACCATTATAACTCCCTCCAGTTCATGAATTTGAGTTGGAGCACTTATATGTATGGCACACTATTCGTATGTATTTACATATCTCACATCTAAACTTTCATATTTACATGAATGACACTCAAATCTTTAATATCACATAAAAATTAACTCTATCATCACTTTTTAAACGTGAAATACATATTTTCATGCACAGGTTCAAAGCACTAAAATGTTATATATGTCATTAAGTTTAGATATGACATGTAAATACATAAGAATTGTGTGCTATGTATCTTAATTTCCCATGTGAGATTTGTTGTCCCTTATCAAAATGTGTTATGGGCATTTACATGCATGCAGCCAAATTTTTATATATTTACATATCTAAGACCTAAATGACATCTAAACATTATTTTTTATTTTTATATCACCCAAATATTTCATATCACATAAAAAATTTTATTATTTTATTTTCTAAAAGTGGAATACTGCTTTTCATGCATAGGTAAGGTGGTATTATGTATGTTAAAATTAAAGTTTAGGTGTTAGATATGTAAATACATAAGAATTTAGTTGTATGTACATACATATTTCTTTTATTTTTTATATTTATACCATCCAAATTTTTGATATCACGCCAAAAACACCGCCATTTTAATTTTTAAAAAGTGAAATACACATATTCATGCATAAGAAAGATGATATGTATCATGTATGTTAATGCCTCTATGTATGTAAATACATATGTTAGGCCATTAAAATACGCACATCCCAATTTCTATATGTTACACCTAAATTTTATCTTTATGAAATTTAGATACGAAGCGCACAAACCTATGTATTTACATAATTAACACCTAAACGTAATCTTTTACATTTATACTATCCAAATCTTTCATATCACACCAAAATACCACCATTTTAATTTAAAAAAAGAGTACACCTTTTCATGCATAAGCAAGGTGATATTTATGTCAAAATTGAAGTTCAAGTGTTAGATTTGTAAATCTTCCTTTTGTTTTTACATTTATACCACCCCAAATCTTTCATATCACATCAATAACACCACCATTTTAACTTTAGAAAGTGAAATACACAATTTCGTGCATAACTAAGGCGGCATTTACGTAAAAGTTTCAGTTTAAGAGTTAGATACCTAAATACATGGAGTTTGGTGATTTCCAAAATGCTATTGTGAGATATTTCTGCAGTAAAAACTAAACTGAGCCACTCTTTTCTGTCAAGATTGTTAGAGCATTGGAAGGAGATGTGTTTCTTGACGATCCGAATGAAGGACTCAAACCGGGTCAAAGCGGCGCATTCGGTTCGTATGCCAGCTCGGATTATGATGCAATGCAGTACATTGAAGACATCAAAAATTTCAGAAAACTGGCGCTCGGAAGCCGTGAATATGGAGGCAGCGGACATAGCGAGCAAACCAGCGAATATGGTCAGGTTCACTCGGCTTCGAGCAGCGAAGATGGCCGGCCGAGTCAAGAAATGGAGAAGCATGCGGCGAAGAATGGGAGTCAAAGGTTTAGTAGTAGCAGCTGATAAGCCTTATGTTTTAGTTGTAAATTTCAGTGAAGTTTTCCTTTGTTTTTATAGCCATTTATAATCATTGACTTGAAATATATTTGAAGATTGAACATGATGCATGCACATAGAAAATAATTCATGCATGCAAATTTTTTTATATAATTTTTTTAAATATTTTTATGAGAGATTTGTTTTTGCAGAGCAATTTATAGATATTTGATGATTATTTTAATTTTTTTCTATTGTTTGGTATAATTTTAATATGATATTGTATGCAATTATTCATCTTATCTTCTTGAAAGCATGAAGAAATCCCTGCCTACATAAAAATGGTGGAGTTATTGTACAAAGGTGTTGCTTATAGCCATAAAATGTATCTATATATTTTATGTGCTAGTTTATGATTAAATTTGGTATAATTAGGGTTGTAGATGAACAACTTGAACTCGGCTTAATTAAGACTCAAACATATTTGTTTAAATTAGTAAACAATTAAGTTTGAATATTTCTTAAAAGCTCGAAGGTTAGATGGACTAAACATGAACATTTTCAAACTTATTCATTTATGTTCACGAACGAACTCATTTGTTGTTCAACAAGTAACTTGTTAAATATTTGATATTTAACTTGATGAAAATTAGGATGAAATATGATAGATAAATTTAATTAAATTGGACTAGAAAGAATTTATTTAATTATATATTTAATATTAATATATTATTATATCAATTGTTGAAATATTTTGTATTATGAGTTAATTGATAGTACAAGTTTATTTGGATTTGTTTGCTCTTGTTTTCAAGTTTCTTCTCTATCTTAGAACGTATCATTGTGAGAAAATATTTATTATATATACTAGATGAGATCATGTGGGTTAGTTCATTTTCTCATCTTATTTATTAAATTGTTTATTTATTTAGATATGTAAAATTATTTATTAAAACTTTTATACAATAATCGATATGTGCATTTGAATTTTTGGTAGTTTAAATGCTCGTTCACTAGTCATAAAGAAAACAAGTACAAATCAAAGTCAAGTATTGAAATTTTGTACAAATCAAGTTTGAACGACATGTGAAAGCTCGATACAAGCTCAAGCCAAACATAAGCAGAGTATAATAGTACCAAGTTAAGTCCAATCTATGTATACCCGACTAAATTACAACCATTGGTATAACTCAAAGAAGAAAACTATATTCCATTATTAAGCTCTAAAACTAATGCAATAAAATTGGATAATTTGTTCCAACAATAAGGTGTTGTGATATTACTAAGGAGAACAAAAATATGAAGCTATGAAGTGCCAAAGTTATATATGATTGAGAAGAAGAAAAAATAGATAAAAGTTATAAGTAAAAAAGGTTAAAATTTGTCTTTTATTAATTGAAATCTTAGGCATTCAATATGTGTAACATAAGATGAAAAATAATTGCTTCAAGAAAATTGCCATTTCTCCTTAGCTCTTTATGTACATTATAAATGATATTTGGTTATTTTAAATCATAGTTTTTATTTATTTATCTTTTTTTTTCATTGTGGATGGTGAAAGATATGCATTGAGAATTTCATGATAATTTAATTGTTTATTATTCTTATGAAAGATTAAAGGATTGGGTGGCATATAGAAGACCTCTTAAAAATCTAATTTTGCATATGTATTTCACAAATAAAAAAGTTCAATATGTGTAAGACATAATCAATGAACTTATGAAAGAACATTGTACTTTATTTAGTGTCATTTGACATCTTCAAAGTGGGAATTATTTTATTATAAAATCATAAGCATTTATTAAAAAAATTTTTGCATTTAGTTGTGATCAAGCCACACACACACATTGACAAATATGTTAATAGCAACTAAACATAAGATGAAAATTGAGAAGTTGAAGGCCAATTTGTGTGTAATGTTCTAGGACTTTGGTGAGGCAAAAAGATAATGAGAAAGTGATCACCCAAGATTCATAGAAAGACACCATATGCTTAGTGCGTACTCAATATCTAAAAAAATTATTCCTGAGGTTCGACATAAAAAAAAACACTAAATTTGCAATTGTTTTTTTTAACTTTATTTTTAAAGTTGTGAACATTAATATTTTCAAACACATGTAAAGCGGAAAAATATATGGAGAGTTTTCCATACAAAAATAGCGTGTGAGCCTTGATTAATGTAATGGTGTGTATATTATTTAATTTCTCACAATTTGTCAGTATGATGAGCCAATATATGCACATTCCCAATAAAGACCACTACCATACATGCACTAGATTTTCTGGTATATTAAAGATATTGTGACTATTTATATGGAATTTAAGAATAATAAAATGATTATAAATCTTCTTGAATGGTATGTCAATTCTTATTTCAATGGTTATCTCATCAATCATCAATCACCCTTCAATTATATGTTTATTATGATAAAAAGAACAATGAATTGGGGATCATTGCTACATTCAACAATTGCTTTGTCTATTATAAAAGTGGGGTATATGGTGATAATGGAAGAATGGTTTGCTTACCAAAGAATCATATACACCATGGTTGCACTAAGCATATTGATGTTTAATGCATTTATTCAAGAAATAGTACATAAAAGAACTTTTTTTTACAAATTATGAAACCATTCTTTCATGAAAATACGTTTTTGAATAAATGCATTGATCCCATTCTCAATACTTGTGCTTTGGTAAATGACCACCTTTAAGAAAAGATTAAGAGAAATGATAATCTTGCATAGATGTTAACGATGGTGATTCTCACAAGTTCCTATTGCATAAGGGCACAATTAAAGAATCATCATTTTTGGAGGAGGCATTCTAAGTTGAAAATTACTAAAAGATTAGCTTCTACCTATGAAGTTTTTCAGAGGAGGCTATGACAAGAATCCTCAATGACAATTACACAAAAATCATATATGATAGTTGATCATTAATACTAGAATTGATATTCTAAAGTATTTTATATAAAATCATACTTAAATCGCAAATTATCATAGAAGAAACCGCGTAAGTTCATAACAACTTTCATGAGTCTACGTGAATCATGAGAAAATTAGCGTTTTGCTTCAAATTTGTCATAAGTTTACTACTTAATATAGATAGATTATTGAACTACAAATAACATCTTAAATTATTCTTTATGTTATCATTATCATTAATATTTTAAGTGGCATTTACATAGATACCGCCATGTATTTACATATATACCCCTAAAGATTTATAGTTAAAACATGCATATTACTCAGATTTTTAACATCACATCAAAAATATTGCCATAAGTATGGTTTCTAAAACTAAAAAAATACACATTTTAATGTAAAAATTTACATCAACAAGATGTCAGAAGTGTAAATATCAAATTTTGGTTGTCCTATATTTAAATATAGAAATGTGTGGTATGAATGTAAATTTCACTTATTTTAAATGTTAGTATTAAAACATAAACTATATACCTACAATAAATTATCAAAAAAAATTCAAAATGGCTCAATATACAATTGGGCCAAATCCCTTGAAATCAAATCAATTGGTGACACCCATTTCTATGTATTCAAAATGATTAGAAGCATGTTAAAATATGATTAATAAATCTAGCAAATCAAAATGCAATTAGAAACTTCTTGGGGTTATTTTGGCGATCAACTATCCTTCATATTTTGCATGTTTATAGTCGAAATAAAAATCATGATGATTTTAAGATCACCCAATTCTAAGTTCATTAAAATTATGATATATTTAAATAATAATAAATAATTAACAAAAATATTTTCGGACTACTTAATGGAGCGTCAAGATTTTAGGAAATAAAGAAACATTTTTTTCTTCTAGGGTATATGTAATATGTATTTTTGTTTATTTGATCTCCCCTCACATTAGTAGCATGCTCAGAGTCAATGGCCCCAATTATTGACTCACTAGCTATTATTGATATTTTGCATATATCATGTCAGTCACCCAATCTTTAGTTCAATACTCTAAAAAAAATGTGAAGAGTGTGTATGAACTAAGATCGCGTTTGGGGTAGCTTATTTGGTGTGATGCATTTTGAAAACGCAACCATAAACATTTGGGTAAACTGCGTTTTGACAGCTTATTCAAAAAGTTGCATTTTCAAACTACTGAAATCAGCGTTTTCACACCGTTTTTAGCTAAGTGCAATGACAACTTTCTAACTGCAAAAAAAAAAGATGATAGTCATCGCTTTTTGAACAAGAGATTATTTTTCAACAACTTATTAATAAGTTGCAATAAGTTGCAGCTGCGCCAAACAGACCCCAAGTTGAAGAGAGGAAAAAAATAAGTATTTGGAGTAGTCAACCCTCGAACTTTGCACTCCCAAGAAGCTTTGCCAACAACATATCATATTATAGTGAAGACAAAAATATAACATAAGTTTATCTTACAAGTACTTTCATTAATCCATCATTTTATTTTATTTTTTTCTCATAAGCTTTCAAAATAAAGCCTTAAGTGCCAATTACATCAAATATGAATAAGACAATATTAATCATAGATGAAAAATTCGTAAGGAGAAAAAACTCAAGAGAGCTAAGAAGTGTCAATATGATAAATCTAAGACGACAATTAAGCTACCTCATATAAGCAATTAGCAAATTAGATTAAGAGTTTGTTTGGGGCAAATGTAAATGTTTGAAGAAACAATTATGAAGCTACAACATAAAAAAAATAATTTTTTTTTTTTTTAAATTGTTGTGACTATTACAAATTTATTTTATTTTTAATGTTAAACCACCACTTTCTTGCAGCCACCACGCTTAACTATTTGGATCGGATAAAACAGCTTTCTACCATAAAAATTTCTTAAAAACAACAAAAAATGATTCCTCAAATAAAATTGTGATTGTTGTATGAAAAGTAAAGCAGACAGAAAGCTATCCTAAACAGACTCTAACTCACACGTGAGAAGTGAGTTGAACTAGGGAATGTTTGCTTCTACTTTATTAAATATGTTTATAATCTTTATCAGACTTACACTTATCCAAATTGTTAGAAAATTGGTGAAACATAATTCAAATAAATAATAATAATAATAATAATAATATATGCAAAAAAAAATTACACAAGTTTACCCGGAGAATAACAACATAATTCATTTGATTTAATATAAATACAACCCCCTTTTTAATTAAAATAAAGTTAGTTAAAAAATATAGTAAAATTCTCAAAATATTCTCAACCAACATGTTATAGATAACTTTCGAAGGACAGACCAAACCACCATGAGGACGGTTCTCGACTGCTACTAACTCCCACGACAACTTTACCACGAAAATCAACCTATGACTATTTGTCTGTCTGAGGATAGCTTTTTTTCTGTGTTGTGTTTTAGACTGCCACATCGGCTATCTAGAACATTTTTGTGATAGAAAACTAATTATATGATTGTTGTAATAAAATGGTCCTTTGATTTAACAAAGATCTATTTATAATTCTTAGAACAACTTCTTAGAAGTTGCTATCCCCACACAACTTTACAATCATCCATATAAACACTTACCAAAGATCTATTTATAATTCTTAGAGCAACTTCTTAGAAGTTGCTATCCCCACACAACTTTACAATCATCCATATAAACACTTACATCTGCCCCAAAATAAAAAAAAACCTAACATCTACATAATATGTTCTCTTCACAATATCAAATCTGAGTGAAGCGTCAAAAAAGTCCCCGACTACTTACAATGGGCCGTTTTAGTCCTAGACTGTATAGAAGGGCCAAAATAATCTTTGACTATTCTAAAACTGTGCTCTAATAGTCCTCCATAGGAACTATTTCAGCCCTGTTAAAAGATGTTAGGGACTATTTTGACCTTTTTATAAAGTTTGGGACTAAAAGAGGCTTTGTCTCCACAACTTTTCATATAATTCCCATCTAGACTAAATAAAATTGAAAGAACAACAACGAAAAGAAGCAAACTTAACATTTAGTTTCAGCAAATTCTTCCTTCCATCACTCTTGTAAAAATTTATCTCATTATAATCCAAATCTCTACATAATGGACGTATATAAAATAATATCATTTCATCTGAATCTTAATTGAAAAACAGAAATGCAGAAGAAATTATGCACCTTGGAAGCTCAAAAAATTCACTTCACAATTCAGGTTGGCTAACCTTTCTGATTTTCCAGAGAAATAAAAGAATTAAACCACTGCTTCCAAGCAGCATCTCCTTGCTGCTCAATCCATGACAAGAAGCAGCTGTCTAAAAGACAAAAGAAATTTACATACAGAAGTTGGTACCTTACAGGAACAAATCTGAAATTTGCAATCTGAACCAGCGGCCAAATTCCTCCACCAATCACCAGGCTTGGAAGAAAGTCCCTCTTCACATCTTCCCTGACCTGCTCCACATTTTTCCCAGATGCAAATCCCATGTATGAGAAAAAGATTAGTAGATCTAATGGACCGAAAATGAGAGCATCGCTGGCGACTTTTGCCGCGACGAACTTGGGAGTTTTAGGTTGGAGACGGAGACGAAATCTGATGAAACGGTCCAAGTACTCATACCTGAATTGTATAGGAAAGAAAACTATCGATGGTATGCATGGAATTTAATGCCATGCCCGACAGACAAGCATGTGTATTCGAAAGCCAATCATTGATATAGCATAAAAATGAAGGCAAAACTATTCGAAAGCCAAGCATTGATATAGCATAAAAATGAAGGCAAAACTACGTGCATACCACAAATTTTTATGTATTTACATATCTAAGTCCTAAAGTTTGATGTTTATATTTAGGAAAATTTACATACATACCAAATAATTCTAATGTATCTACATATCTAAAATCCCAAAGTTCAAATATTTATGGTTATAACACGTTGTTGTCATATGCATGTAAATATATATGTTGAGTTATAAATGCAAATAAAAAAGAATTGCCGTATGCATATAAATGATTATAATTATAACACTTTGGTGTCATAAACCTATACATGAAAAGGTGTATTCAATTTTAAAAAGTTATTAAAAGTGATATTCTTAATGTGATATTAATGATTTGAGTGTTATATAAATATGAATATTTAGGTGTTAGACATGTAAATATATAAAACTTGTGAAGTATTCATGTAAATGTCCCAAAAAATCAAATAACGCCACCGCGCATGGTAATACCGCCCTTTAACTCTTTAAAAGAGAGGTCTAGGTCTGCTCCACCTTCTGAAAAATAAATAAATTCTCTGATCCCAAATGTTTCCTATGAGAGAATTGCCATTTAATGCCTTGAAATATAATGCTATACTGTTGAGAATGGCACCATGAAATATTTCATTGGAAGTACATGCTAACTAGAAAGGGGGCATTTACATGCATAACACAATTTTTATATAGTTACGTATCCAACGCCTAAACTTTCATATTTACATGCATAACACTCCAACATTTAACATAACATAAAAAAAAACCGCTATTACAAAATTTTTAAAAGTGAAATACACCTTTTCATTCATAGGTTTATAACACCATAGTCTTGTAAATGTAAATATCAAACTTTAGGTTTAGATATGTAAATATATAAGAACGGTGTGGTATATATGTAAATTGCCCAACTAGAAAATTAGTCTGCTTTTACCATTTTTATTTGCGTCACTCATTACATGAGCTTGATATACTAATAAACTCAACAAAATCATAAGCTTAAAAGAAGAGTGGAATATCAAAAAATCTTAATGATAATTTTTCCTTTGACTTTTGGTCATTTTTAACTAAATTTACAGTCATGCAATACATTAAGGATTCTGCAAGCTCATAAACAATAACTTTAGACTCATAAGCAGAGATAGTTAAGTTAAGTTTATAATTACTAAGATGAACTAGTAAAATTTAAATCCATTGGAAAAAATAAATTTCAAACTTACCAGTAGTGGCCAACTGGTCCAACAAATGCAAATCCAAACATGCTTGTGATACCCACCCGTTGCCAATTGATCTTAAATTCTTTGCCGTCATACTGCAGGAACAAGATTAATTACATCATTTCAGTGAGGTTAAACCGTTAAAATAATAATTAAGGACAACATAATTGAGTTTTAGGCAAAAAAATATGTTTTTCTCGCATGCATATTTGAGCATGAATTTTAAAAAAGAATTTCTTGGAAACTACGATATAGGAAACATAATTGAGAAATCAAAGCTTATTGTTTCAGCTTTATTGTGATGTTAATGTTATTAAATATCAAAGTTATCTCAAGTATTATGTGTTTGATTCAATGTTATAATATAAAGTGATTTCAATGCTATTTATATTAAAACAAAGTATTATGATTCTTAAAAATAAGCATGACTATCATTTTGAAATATTAATTATTAAAGATAATGGTGAAACAAATGGTGGACATCTTTAAATAACATGGCATGACATCCGAGATGTCACGGAATAATTCACTGCAATGAATAAGCATTCACCCTATATATCCTTGTCACAATTGCCACATGGTAAAATAATAAATCTAATTCATCAATGTTTGTAACCTATTATAATCTTCATTTAAATTCAAACAGGGAAGCAAATCATTGATTGTAAGTTTAATGTGATAGAAATGAGAATGTAAATAAATATATGGAAAAATATATTAACAGCTACTGGAGATAGAAATATTAAAATTAAAAATAAATTTATGTGATTTGATCATGTACAATTCAGGGCAGAATATTAATAAAACAAGTAAATAAAATTAAGTGGAAGAAAAAGAAATTAAAAGAGTTATGTGACCTGGCTTAAAGTTGCATCAAAAGAGAACAAAATAGAGTTAAGATCTCATATAGATCTCAAAAAGACAATTGGAGGATTCTTAAAAGAAGCTACCAGCTAGTTAATATAATACAAATAATGATGACATCTGAAAATTTTGTTGGTTCACAAACAAGAGTGTAATATCATTCTGGTCATTCAAGTGATAGGTACAAAGTTGAAATTTACCAATTTAACTTTACATGTGTGAGTGCAAAGGAAGCACAAATTAGTAAAGTGTTGCTACAAGTTTCACAAAAATACAAAATCTTTGGATTATTCGAGATAACCAAGGGAGAGGAGTAGGTAGTGGCCGATATGTCAACTAAGTCAAATGTTTATAGCATTTTAAAACACCTTAAAATATATTTATGTGTAAATGGTTGATAGATAATAGATTTAAATATCTTGGATCCATTATATAAGAAGATAGGAAATGAGTATATAATTCCTCGAGTTAAAACTACATGGTTAAAATAAAGAAGCGTCTTGGAAGTAGTATGAAAAAAGAGGTAACATAGAGACTTTAAGGTAAATTCTTAAAATTGCAATAAAGAAAGTGATTTTTTATGGACAGGCTATTGGGGAGTAGAAAAGTAGTTGATATATAAGCAGAGCATAAAATAAACTATTAAGATAAACATGCAACAAAATTAAGGATGGCTAAATTAATGAATGATTTTATTAGAAAAAATGTTAAAGTGACATTCATTAAAGATAAGTGATGTAGGACAACTCGACGTCACGGTTTATGTAGTGGTTTATTTAATAAAACTAGTATGATTGAAATATAACTGAAGATTAATTTACAAGAAAAAAAAATTGAAGAATCAAGAATCACAAGCCACCAATTAATCCAACAACATACTTTCATTAGATGTAAACACATCATATTATAATTATAATTAACTGGTCATCAAATTCTTAAAATAATTCAAGAAATTTAGGGAGTAATTACAAAAATATAAAATCGAGCAATTGAACTTAATTTCCAAAAATTGGATTTCAATTGTGATAATTTTTTATCAACATCCATGATAATAAACAATATAATGCTAGGCAATGTAAAATAAAAATAGAAGAAAAATACCAAATTCAAAAAAAGTCTCATAATAATGCAAGGGGATTATCTCTGAATTAGGTAGTCGCACTTATAGTGCACCTGATTGAATTGTACATCTAACTGGAAAGAGAAATTTTATTCAAGCTAGAAGTTAATTTTATATGTTTCATAACCGTTATTCATAGACACCTCATCTCCTAGAATATATGTTATGGTTGGCATAAGATTAAAAGCTTAAACCAAGTTTAAACTAAAATTCAAAAAAAAATTCTGCTAAGCAACCAATCATATAGCTCAAATATTGCATGCCTTGATGGCTTAATAAAAGCCGAAAAAAAATAATTACAACTTGGATTCGCAACTTTAAGCCAAAGAGAACAGAGGTTTAGCAGCACGTTGTAGAAATTGCAAAAAAAATGCAAACCTCCACCACCAAAAACATAATTAAGGGAGGATCAAACCAACAACCATCGCTTAACCCCATAGCATAAAACCTCTAGCCACCAACTAAAATTCACAAAGATTAAATGTAAAAACCAACACCGAAGTTCAGCATAAATATCCCTAGTTTGAAAATTTTTTACTTTAATGAATTAAGTTTTAGATCAAAATTTAATCAAATTTGAACCATGCCAAACAATATTAACAAAAATAAAGCTAGGAAATAAAAAAAAAAAAAAACATCTCTATGTTGACCATCAACCACCATCATTAGCATGTTCCTGATACAAAATAATAAATAAAATAATTACATAAATAGATAAATTGGGCACATATCATTGCTTAATGTGATGCTTTTTACAAAAATAAACTCACATATTTCTATCAACACAATATGGACAATTTTTTTCTCTTAAGAATTTAGCATTTAGTTAGAAAAAAGCAAATTATAACATAAATTATGCGCTTCTTGTAAAGTAATACATTAATCATTACAAGCAAGTAAATTATCAAAAGATGATGCAATCTCATAATTTAGAATAGCCGAAAGAACGAGCTATAGATTAGATATTGATCCACAAGCAATTGAAAGTGATGGCAAGTTTATAATAAAAAGAGAATTTAGGCACATCAAAAAACTCATTTATAACAAATTTTTTTGAAATATTGATTTATAGGAATTAGTTCTAATCTATTACAAAAATTTAAATGATATTGTCTTGCTTACATTTAATTTATTAAAGTTTATAGATTGAAGTTTTTATGGAGTAAAGCACGCCATCATTGTATCTGCAGGTTTAAATTTCACATACAAATTGTTCACATTTACAGAAGGTTATAATTATCATAATAGTAGCCAATTTTATATGAATATCCTCACTCATGTAATTCATGTGTTGTGTGAGTGATTATGTAAATGCCGGAGGCCTAAACTCCATATGAATTTATAGGCTTTTTAGATTGATAGCTTCTCACAATCTTAAATAAACACATGCCAACAGATCTTGACAGGTGAATTATGTACAAACTCAATCATAGAAAAATATCAAACCCCATCTAAATGGATGACCATTTATCAAATTAGGCAGCAAACATCCCTAGTTTTTATTTCACTTTAATTATCCATCCATTTGTGGATGATAAATGATTAAAATTTTATTTGTGGTCACATTTTCTTTCAAAGAATTTTCTAAAAATAACTCTTAAATTTTACATCTCACTTAAAAGATTAATTATTTATGTAAAAATAACAATTTAATTACTTCATTAAAAATATATGTTAACAATGTGAGATGCATTTCAAATCATATGAAATTATAAAAATGTATCAGTTTTTAAAAAAATTATATAATATATAAATAGAATCATATTTTCTCAACATCATTAATAAATCTAATATAAAATCCGTACTAATATCATCAGAGAGTTTACATGAAATTAGTAAAGCAGCATACAACCATGGCTTATGTTTCCTACCTTTAATGAACGAACCATACATGGTGAAACAATACGTGACACATCTTTTCTCTACTAAAATGTTGAGTACCCACAGAAATGTAATTCCAAAAAAAAAAAAATCATCTGCTAATGATGAATCATGAATAATCATGAATGAAAAGACAAGTAACTTTAAATAAATAACCATACAGTCTTTGTTGAGTAAATATAAGTCATAAGTCAAGTCTTAGTAAAATTTATGAAATTCTTTACAACAGGCATACTCCACATTTTCATGATCAAACCACTCACTTTAATTGATGATTGTAAAAATTCCAATGTACGTAACATTTCTATATCCCAACTTCTTTCAGGAACTCAAATATTTCAAATATTGATGATTGGCATATAGTATTAACTTCTAAGTAATGTGTGACGCCTTCAACAAAAAAAGGGCTTGCACAAAAACATAGAACTCCCCATCTTAATTTGAATATTATTGTTTAGCTTCATCCAACTTCTCACCAAGGAATAAAAGTGGGCATCCCTCCTTACTTAACAACTCCAATACCAACATCAGATGCATTGAAATAAACTTCAAGCAACTTATTAAAATCAGACAACTTAAGTGTAACCAAAATGGTAAGTCACTTGATTTCTATAAAATAGTTGATTTAAGCCATGTAATTGGACACATGATGACATTGGAACCTTTAAAAACTAATCTATAAAAAGCAGTTAAAATGTAAAAACACTGAACATTATGCATAGTATCAAGACTTGGCCGTTTATTTAGCACTTAGGCCTTATTAAAATCATCAGATGATCCATCCTCACAACAAATCCTAAGAAGATCATAGAGTGCAAATTTTTTTTTTTTTTTCAAATCAAATTCAAATATAACCTTTTATATAACCTTTTAGCTAATAAGACCTCATGCTATATACGAAAATACCATTAAAGCAAAAATAAGAAAATTTCTAATGACAAATACAGTACAAGGATCAATATTCTCATGTAAGTTTAGTTATTATGGTTACTTCAAAAGGCATCAACAACTATTCATCCATTCAAAACTTGGCCATAAAAGCAATCTTCCACTCATCACTTGTATCATTCTAAATCTGACTTGACGATTGCCACTTCTCGAATCAATCTTAAAGAATCTGATAGTACCATTTATCATATCTAGCATATCATCTAAAAGATGTATAGAAAATCTCATTTAATGATGCTTTTATTAATGGCACTACTAACTAAATGCATGAGCCAGCTACCATCTGTCTTAATTTTAGCAAAAACTCATGATTTCTCTAATAAAACCCTTCTATAATTCATTAATTGCCTCTTAAGTTTAGCACATTCTACTATATTCATGAAATAATGTGAAAAATTAGGCATTTGCAATCCAACAACTAAATCAATATCATGATGCATATCTATCAGTAGTGATAATTCATTTAAATGTTTAATAAGACAATTATTTTTAACATCATTGAACTGGTGTTTACCACCACCGACAAAATCATAGTCTTAGGTCAAACATTCCTGCCTACTCTCTTTTTCAAATGTACATTTATTATATAAATGTAAGGATTCTTATGCAATGTCAAGCTTACTCCCAAGCATTCTAAGTTTCAAAATTATATCTCTCATTAATCTTAAAAGCATAATATAGTAGGCATTCTAAAAAGACTTGCATTTAAATCATAAAGCCAAAGTCTGGCCCAAACAACAAAGCAACATACGTAGACAATATAACATCATATTTTATTACTATAGGTTAATGAATCTAAACTAATCATCTCTCAAAAAACAAAAAAGAAGTTTTTATGAGTTTGCAAAGTTTTTCATCATATTTACAATATATTTGAAAAATTACAGTTCTCTTTTAATCATATTCAAGCTTCAAAGTAGCAATTATGCAACATGCCGTTCGAAGAATGATCAACTAAAACATCCTAAGCATCGCTTCTCTTTATAAAGTTCGTGAGCATCATCATAATCATTGATTCTCTAACAATCAATCCCAAAATTATGCCATAAAACTGATTTCCCCCAAGAACCCTAATTGTCGACAGCGTCAGAATAACCAGCAGCAAGCAGCAAAACTTAAATTCATGCATTTAAAGAAAAAAAAAAACAACTATTCAGAAATGCAGGACTGAACCACAATCAATGGCAAATCAAGCACAGAATCAAACGCAAGGGGTCGATTCTTATAACTGGTTAAAAAAATGCAAAAAACTGACCAAATGTTGAAGAATTACCGGACTTTGACGCTTTTTCTTCAAAGTCGAATGGGTGACGGCCTGAGCGCCGATATCCCCCAATCCCCAGAGGATCCCCGAGCTGATCACCTGGGTCTTCACAGGATGCACTTCCAAGCACTTCTGGTACAATCTCCATAGCCTCAACATCGAAGGAATATCGATCGATGAGTTCACAAAGAAAAAAAAAAATAAGCTTTTCAATGTCGTCGCTGATCCAGGAAGGAGAGGAAGACGAGCCCGATCTAAAAATTGCGCCTTTTTTCCTGCTCAAGACTTTCTATGAAAAGGGCAGCTGAGTTTGTCCCACTTTATATATATATATAT